GTGTTGGGAGAGTGGTGTGGGGTGTTTAGGTACTTTTATTGTTGACTGCAAAATGTTTTATTTCATATTGTTTTTATTTTTCTATTTTCTTTTCTTGTTTTTATTATTGTTGGATGCTGTTTTGTTTTTATTATTAGGACTGCAGATGTAAATTAGTCTTAGGCTAAATCTGGTGCAATGCATCAAATGCTTTTATGTTTATATTTTAATTGCACACTGTCCTCACAAATAAAATTCATCCATTCATTCAATTAGGTTGCGGGGGAAGCAGCTTGACCAGGAATGCTCAGACCTCTCTTCCAGCTCTTCTGGAAGGACTCCAAGTGGATCAATCACAAATAAGTGTTTGTGACCATAGCTGAGAGTAGGAACATAGGCTGACTGTTAAACACAGAGCTTTCTCTTGCAGCTCGGCTCCCTCTTCACCACACCAGACCGCTACAGACTACACAATACTGTGGAAGCTGCACTAATCTGTCTGCTGATTACGCTCCATTTTCCCCTCATTCATGAACAGAACCCACAGATACGCAAGGCAGCACCTCGCTCCCAACCTGGACAGGCCAGTCCACCCTTTCTGACTGAGACGTAGTCAGATTTGTAGATTTGTTATAGAAAAGTAGAGAAGCTAAAGTTAAAGCTTTAATCGTGTTTGTTTGACAGTGAATGTCATGCAATGTGTGACATCTTTTTTTTTTTTACCACTATGAGAGTAAACATTCATGTCTGGCTCCACGATGCTCCGGACGGCGGAGGACAGTTTCTGCCCCTCTTCGTCCCCTCTGACTGGGCTGCTGGGCAAACATGTTTGTGAATCATCCCTTTCTGCCTCTTCCCATTCCTGTAGTGCACAATGATGGGACGCCTCCTCTGATGATGGAGCTGAGGTCAGGGGAGCACAGGCAGCTGGATCTGGTTCTGAAGGCTTGAGTGAGGAGCTGACAGTAGGAAGGAGTGGGCCGTCCTCAAAACACACAAAACAAATAGAAGTTAGTTTTTCAAATTATGCATATTAATACAGTATATGTGCAAAGCGCGAACCCAACTCTTTATTTACAGTGTCTGTGAAGAGAGGGAAGGAAACGGCCGTTCCAGTCCACTGTAAATGCGTTAGGCCGCCGTCTATCTCCATCACAACCTCCTCAAAGTCTTCACGCGCACGTCGAAGTTCATTCCTCTCAAGGTAGCCGCGTGCACGTGCCTGGGGAGGAGACCGGTGACAGGTGGGTCGATGAATGATGCTCTGCTAACGATTAGCAGCCTGTTTTAGCATTAGCTACCGAGATCAACTTAGCTACAAAAACATTGCTCGTTAACAGCTGTGGGTAAAGAAACTCAACTTTCTGCTTTACCGGAAGGCTGAAATGCGGCGGTTACCTGAAAGTTCGTGATTATATTCTCCCATTTGCTTCTGTCCATTTGCTATGGTTACATGACGGCGCTTCTACAAAGCGCGGGTACGAGCTCAAAGTTTTTACTCATTTCCGGTGCCAAACCTAAAAATTAAAAGTGGAACATTGCTAAACAGGTAATATTATACTACTATTTATTAATTTAGGTTGTTGCACATAAGTATATCAGTATTTAATACAATATAGTTAAAGTTATTTGGTCGCATACAACTGACTGAGACAGTTTTTATTAACGCGGTGTTATATTTTGGAAATCCCGCATTTGCGGAAGTGGACTTGTGTTTGTGTTCCGTTTGCGATGCTGCCTTTCCTCACATGGCGCTTTTTACTTGAAAGTTTTTAGACACCGCTGTCGAAAATGAGTGGTGGTTCGAATCAGAGGACTTTGTTCCAGACTTGGGGGGCCGGCATTTCCCAAAACAAGTCTGTCCAAGCCGCGAGGGGCACAAAGCCCGCTGAAGCCCGCCGGACACCGTCAAGCAGCAACTCCACTCAGGTAGCTACAACAACGCGTCCTCCCAGACGTTCTCCGTGGACAGTAATCGGTGAAGAATCCACGTATGCATCGGAGAAACCAGCGAGGACAGAGGACGACATACCTGCAGATGAAGACGATGATGACCTGATGGTAATTGCTGTCTATGAAGCTGAAAAGAACCTTCAGCTTGAAAATCCCAGCTGTTTTCAAGATCATGCAGTTTGTGGAAACACAGCTCTTTCTCCTACTCCATGTGGACGGATATATCCAGACTTTCCAGGCTTTGACAGCTCCTCAGCTAAAGTATGGATCTATCCCACCAACTATCCCATTAGGGAGTACCAGCTGAAGATATCAGAGACAGCCTTGTTCCAGAACACGCTTGTGTGTCTTCCTACTGGTCTTGGGAAAACCTTCATAGCCTCTGTGGTCATGTACAACTTTTACCGCTGGTATCCATCAGGGAAGATTGTGTTCATGGCTCCCACCAAACCTCTAGTGGCCCAGCAGATCGAGGCCTGTTATAAAGTGATGGGAATCCCTCAGGCGCACATGGCTGAGCTGACAGGTGACAAATTTATCACAACAAAGAGTGGAGCTCAGGTTTTTCTCTGACAGGTGTTAATGCTGGTGCATGTGTTGTTTTCTAGGCAGCACAGCCGCAAAGCAGAGACAAGAGGTGTGGAAGTCCAAGCGGGTCTTCTTCCTCACCCCTCAGGTCCTGGTGAACGATCTGTCCAGAAACACCTGTCCAGCTGAGCAGGTCAAGTGTGTGGTGATTGATGAAGCTCATAAYGCGTTGGGAAACCATGCCTACTGTCAGGTAAAAAGAAAAAAGAAAAAGAAGACTTTTTCAAATTAGTACTTGTGTGTATCTCTCTGGACAGACATTCACAACAMTTGGTTAGAAACTGTTTTTAACATTCAAAAATCATCTCTAAATTGAGGGGCTATATTAACTAAATCAGACCTGAAGATGTTTATTTATGCTTGAAGCTTCTTAAAACCCGGTTTTAAACTAAAAAAAAAAAAGTCATTTCAAGCAAGAGCTCAGAGACTGTGGAACAGCTAGCCCAGGGGTCTGCGATCTTTACGATCAAAAGAGCGATTTCTGCTCCTTGGCTCACTGATAAAATGTGTTCAGAGCCGCAAAATAAACTACAACTGTGATCATCAAGTGGTGGTTCGTGGGCCTTTTCAAGGCCTTTTCGGGAACCTTTATTGCTAGTGGAGGTGACATTATAAAACTAAAAATGTATTGTGAATTTTACTATTTATTATTACTTTTGCACATCAGGACAAATAAAAAGACCGTATTCATGTAAACAAGAAAAATACTGTTTATAGTTTTTACCAAATTTCATAAAAACTAGTTCAACTGAACTATTCAGGTATATATATTTTTTCTAATTCTTATTATGTAGTTTTTTTAAAGGTAATTCTGATGAATTTGAGCTAGCATGAGT